GAAGTCGAAATTTCGTGAGCTTTTAAATTCACATTCCACATCGAACGAATGAATGAGCTTTTTTGCCTTCAACCAAAGTAGCCATCAGATGCAATCTCTTGGAAGCTGTCGTTTGTCCGAATATGCGAAACCTGCACCATTCATTCCTTCCCACACTGAACTATTTCCCACCAATAAGTGATGGCACCTTCTTCTAACAGCTCTCACTATTACTGGCTAATGGTACCATATAGGACAGTTGACGAATACCATCCTCAATAAATGAAATTTCATCACATCTGATTCGTTGTTGTTATTACTTTTTTTCGCTATACGACACTAATTTTCCACAATTTTATTCTTTGAATTCAGTCGAATATTCGATTTTTCAAACTGAAGTGATGATTGTTTCAATTTTTTCGATTCGACCAACTCGTCCACCAAACTTTTCGTTATTCACAAACCGACGAAGCCTATCGATTTCAAGCATTCAAATTTCTCTTTCTCGCACTATAATTTTCATTTAATTTTGCAAAGTCACTCACCGACAGGTGAATCGTTAAAATTTCCCAGAGAAAGGTTTACTTTCGGCGAGGACCTCGGCGTTCCCAGCTATTCCCTTCTATTCCCTTTTGCTTTCGTAGTCCGGCGGCATTGCGCGAAGACGAAGCGCGCTATGTCGGCCGAACAGCTATTCTCGGCGCTAATTATCTTTAAATAAACCACCAACGCAAATTTTTTTTATCATATCATTATCATAGTTTAGTTATTTTTAACTAATTCGCGGTGCTCAGTGCCCATCATCAAAGCGGATCTTTTTGGATTTCGCGAGCAGTTTCGGCCTAGTCAAGCCTATAATTCCGGTACGACCAGCCTGTCCTATTGCCCATCGATCTTTGGCCCCTGACCTATTGACCTTCAAATTTCTAATTATATCGATTACCTATAAAAGTGACCTATGGAAATTATTACCTGTGAAAAATGATCTTTTTATTTTTCCGACGCATAACTCTCTCAAATTTTCATGTAATCGTCCATTTTGCTAGTCGTCTGCTTGATTGATAAATTAAGAAAATTGAGAGAAAAGAATTATTTGAAGCGTGAGAAGTAGAGAAGTTAGGGAAATGTTAGAGAAAGCGGAGACAACTCGTCGAGACAAAGAGAGTGAAATGAAAAATTAGCCCTACAGACGATAAATGTATGTGAGAGAACGTTCCACGAAGACGACATGAGAAAGAAGGAAAAATTAAGCCATTGACTAAATGTCAAGTGCGTGTTGACGCGTTACTATGGCAACCAATAGGCGGAGACTTATAAGTTATGCGTGCGCCTCGCGTTGCATATGCGACTCATTGACGACATGAAAAGCGGGTCGGTCTAGGTCTGCCGCCATTCATGCTTGTTGGGTTTAAGAGGAAGATAGTTGGTGGAGTGGATGAGAGGGAGAGAGGGGGGGGGGGGGGGGGGGGGGGGGAGAGGGGGCTTGTGTGGTGTTTTGTGGGGGACCGTAGTCGGCTCACTGGCGGGGTCAGAAAGTCAGTTGAGTGTTGTTTCGAGTGTTGTTTCGTGAAGTTATTTTTCATATGGTTTGCGATTTCTAGCTATTTATTTCGTTGCTTTTTGTATTTCAATAAGTCAATTTGAATATTCCATCGAAACACGTCAATTCACGTGATATACGTGGCCGCTGCATATAAACAAGTACAAGTACTTTGTTCAATATTTTTTCACATATTCCTGATTTTCACTTTGGAATCACTTTTAATTTTTTTCGAAGCATTTTTCAGTTTTTTCTTTTTTAATTTTTTCATTTAATTCTTTGAGTTTTCCATTTTTTTTCAGTTTTCTTTTTTTAATTTGTTTTTTCTCTTTATTATTATTTTCTAATTTTTTCATTGGAATTACTATTTTTAACGTAATAATCAATTATTTCTTTTTAAAATAAATTTAATTGTACTATTTTTTGAAAATTACAATTTCTAAAAGCAACTTTTTTCAACTCATTTTTACGAAGTAATTTCTTGGCAAAACTTGCCTTTTTTTGGAAAAGAAAATTTATCTTGTTTGAAACACTTTTGTCAAATAATTAGTCTTTTTTCTGTTTTTTAAGCATTTGCTGGTTAGGCTCACGTTGCTGGTGACGAATTCGCTAAGGAGTTGTATGGTGATAGAAGTGTGGGTAGATCGCTGGATTTTTTGATAAGTTTAATTATGCCAGTAGTAGTATCCTAACATTGAAGATAGAAACGAGAACAACACTCCATTAAGCTATTCTATTCCAATTAGCCACATGGTCTTGTCTTTTAAACCTTTTGTCCTAAGTTTTTGTATAAGATTCTGGTTCATTGCATCAAGTAAATAAAGTAAAGGTTAGCGGATTTCTGGTTAGGCTATCTCTGACTAATCGCGCTGGTTATTAATACGGCTAGAAATTTTTGCTGGAAATCATTTGGTGATAAAAGTGTAGACAGGTCGCCAGCACCACTCGAATTTTTTTTAGTGATAGGTTTTGCAGGGAATGAAATTGCCTTTCGGCATGATAATATAATCCTTTATCCAGCTGATTCTCTTGTAATTTTAACATGAAATACCGGTATAATAATAACGAAATATAATAATAACAAAATGATTACAATAATAATTTTAATAACAAAAATTGTTAGAAATAATAATAACAAAAATTGTTAGAAATAATTATTAAAAGAATTTAGCTATTAATCATAAAAGAACATTTTTTATCATTAAAATTTTATCAAATCTAAATTCAATTAAAATTAGATGATAAAAATGTAACAATTAAGATTTCTTCGGTTTTTATGAATATTTTAAATAATTTGAAGATATTTTCGACAATTTTCAAAAAAAAAATGAACGATAAAATGAAATAATTGTTCAAAAATAATAAAAAAATTAATGAAAAAATAAAATCAGTGCAAAATGGATAAACAAACTTATATTTATTTATTTAGATAACAGTCACAGGTTAGTGATATGTTATCAGTTATTTTACATTTTTTGAAAAGTTTGTTTTCGAATTATTTTTTTCAAATTTTTTCAAGGTCAGATGAAAATAAAAATTTTGTGAATACTTCCAAACATAAAAGGGAATTAAACTCCTGTTGTATATAAGTTGTTAATCAATTATTCTTCTTTATCTTCTGGCTGACTTCAAGAGTAACAAGCGAGAGACTGTTTCACCAGAGGTTCATTTGGAGATAGAAATGTACCGCTGCTACTTGAATTTGAATTTGAATTTGAACTTGAATTTCACTGTTAATGACAGGTTTATTTCATATTAAGTGAAAGGAATCAAACATTAATCATTTGATCTTATCTAAGGCACATTTATTTTTTATGAATATTTTATTTTTTAAAACTTATATTTGTTTAGGTTGCTTCAGATTTGATAAGAATTTGATATCATGGTATTGCAATTTTTTCCCTATCCATTTTGTACTGATTTTATTTTTTTCATTATTTTTTTTATTATTTTTGTACAATTATTTCATTTTATCGTTGTTTTTTGAAAATTGTCGAAAATATCTTCAAATTATTTATTTTTTAGTGAATATAGAAATGAATCCATTCTGTGCTTATAAATTCTTTCTTCGCATTCTTTTAACATAGTATTTTTCGTTTTATTTGGTTTTATTTTTGCTAACTTGGTCAATGAAAAAAGTCACTTTTAGTAGAGTATCTTTTGGGGATAGAAGGGAAGCATTGTATCAGTGATTATCAGGCATATTTAAATATGATTTAAATGGTTTGAAAATTATGAAATATGTATAATAGGTAATAAAATTTATTGTAAAGATAATTAAGATAAATAATCTTGTTAATAAAAACGGTTTGAAAAAATAAAAATCTTGTTAATAAAAATGGTTTGAAATGGCATACCGAAATTTTTTGATGTCAGGTTATTTCTTCTTTCATTCTAGACCTAACATTTGAGGTAATAATTTAACGATCACTATCTTGCATTTTCTTTTTTAATAACCTCAGAAGTAGTTATTTTCCCCTTCTTTTTTAGATTTTGTTATTTTTATTCTTATTTTATGTAGACGAAAGAAAGAGGTTCAATGACGAGTTTAGTGAAAATATTAGTAATTCAAAGAATTCAAAGAATTTTTATATTCGAATTTCTTTCTGCGAAATTTTTTAAAAAAAAATCAATTTTTCATTTTATACTATTTTCTTTTTTTTAATTCTTTTCCTGATTCAGTTTTATTATAACACTTATTTATCATTATATATGTCATTTTCTGATCGCATCCACCTTCGAATACCATTCAAATACCATTTGCATAAATAATGTTATCACGGAGCGCCGCCTGCGCTGGTTAAGGCAGATTCTCCGTCGTTCACCACAGAAATTGTCGAATATTTCGTTATCTGCTAAACTGTGTGATGGTTGGCGAGCTGGGCCAATCAAGACCTGGACTGATATGGTCAAAAAAGATTTTGAACGTATAGGTGGACTAGCAATAAATGGACTTAGACAATGCAAAAAGGAATGGCTTCTATTACTGTCGATGATGGCATCAGACCGTGCCGCTTGGAAGCGTCTTATCCTTGTAGCCGTTGGAGCCAGCCTAACAAGTAGTGATTAGAAGAAGAAGAAGAAAGACCATTTCTAGTTTACTGGCTGTTGATGAATTTCGCGGGAAAATAGGATTAAAATAGAATTTACTTATCAGAGGCTAGAAATATCTTTTTAATGATAAGTTTATTTTGGCGATTGAGATCGATTCAGCATGGTCGCTATGATAAAATGAACGACAATCACCCTGTTATTCTTTCTTACTTATTTTATATTTTTATTTTATATTTGTATTTATTTGTATTTGTATTTATATTATTATATTTATTTATTAATTTATTAAATTGCCAAAAATTTCTTTATGACAAATAGAGAATTATAAAAAATGTTTGTAAATAAGAATTTAACTTCAGTTGAAATCAGACACATGCATAGACGAAATAGATAGGGATATATAGTGTTGTTCGTGATGATAATAATTATGGTAACGGTAGTGAGTGTGATTGATGATGAGATAAGTGATGGTGAATGGTGCATGACATCTTAAATTTTGGTATTCTCGCTCGTTGTTACTTTTCGGTTTTCTTTTCGATATTTTGTCATATGAATGTTTCAGGAAGCGACGAATTGATTGTTAAATATTATAAGTATAAATATTTTTAAAGCGAATAAAGAAGCAGAAAGTGATTAATTAGTTATTAATTATACGAAAAATAAAGGCGATTCTTTAAAGGAGAAAAGAGCGAGAACAAGTTGTTTTTTGTTGTCTCTGGTTTTTTCTTTTTTCTTCCAGCAGCTTTTATACTGCTTCATAGAAATTATTTTTTTCGTTGGCGTAATTTTACAGTCAATATTACACTGAAGCGACGATCTCGAAGTCCGTCTCCAGTTGTGGAGAACGGTCAGAAATCCTTAGCTCCATCGGAATCACTTGATAGTCGTTTGGCTATGTCAACAACGACAACGTCAGCTGCTTCTACTGTAACATCACCAGCCCAAGTGAGAACATTGTTTGTGTCGGGCTTACCGATGGATGCGAAACCACGTGAACTTTATTTACTTTTTCGAGCGTATCCGGGTTATGAGAGTTCATTGCTGAAAATCACCTCAAAAAATGGTAAAACAGCAACACCAGTTGGTTTTGTAACATTTTCATCAAAACTCGCAGCAGATGAAGCTCGAAAAGCATTACAAGGTGTTCGGTTTGATCCGGATAGTACACAAACGATACGTCTTGAATTGGCGCGAAGTAATACAAAAGTATCGAAACCAAAGCGAATAACACCTCCACCACCAATAATGCACAATCCGACTGGTTTACAAGCCGCAGCAATGTTCCAAAACGCTGCTGTCGCTGCTGCTGCACAACCGAATCATTTTCTTGCTTCCTTGTCTACCTCACATGCCCATGATCTTGCGAACGCTGCTACTGCAGCATGCTTTGAACCGAATCTATCGTCTATTTTTCCTGAACATCAACTATTTACATTATCATCGTTGTCGCAACTTACGCAACCTCATGTTATTTTTCCCTCGAATTCGACTGTATTGCCTCAAGTTAGCACGAATCCTGCAGCCGCTGCTGCAGCAGCAGCTATTTTTCAGCCAAATGCTGCTATACTTGCACAGCTTACTGCTGCTCAGTTAAATGCTGCTTCTCAAGCCGCAGCGGCTTCTCAAGCTGTAGCAGTAGCAACTGCTCCACCTGGGTGTTCAACTTTATTCGTTGCAAATTTGGGTTCATCAGTCACCGAAGAGGAATTAAAACAGGTTTCTATATTTTTCTATATTTTTCTCAAATGATATAATGATATATATATATTCATATATATTTACATATCTATATTTTGCCTGAGAAATTATCTCTTGTTTTTTCATTTTTTAATTTCAATTATCTTTTTGTTCGGAAGAAAATGTAATTAATTTTATGAGGAAATAACGATCTATTCTAAATTATGCGGAGTAATTGAACCAAATTTTTTTGAGGTGTTTCGTTCATTCCCTGGATTTTGTCGTCTTCGAATGTACACGAAAGGTGGTTCGTCTATTGCTTTTGTTGAATATGCCGATATTCGTCAAGCGACTCAAGCAATGACTAGCTTACAGGGATTTCAGATATCTGGTTCAGATCGTGGCGGAATGCGTATCGAATTCGCTAAGAACAAAATGAGCGACATTAATGGTAAGAGTTCATTTTATTTAAATATTCATAGTTATATATGCCGTTTTGCATGTTTCACCATTATTTCGATTGCTTTTTTCGCTCACTCCTTCAATAATAGAAAATAAATAAATAAAAAGTTTCCATGCATTTTTTATATTTGTTTAGTGTAAATAATATGAATAAAAAGTTTATAAAAATTTTAATTCATTTTGCCAGTTTAAATTCAAAATTTTTAAGAAATTTAAATTCTAATTCTGGAAAAAATTCATTCAAAAAAATATTAAGAAATTGATGAGGATTAAAAAATATGGAAAAATGGTTTTTATATTTTTAATAATTAAAATAAAAAATCGATCCTTTTTTCTTTGCAATTTCCGAGTCTTTTCATTTGGTTTTTTAAAGTTATATTTTTTATACGAAAAGTTTTTTTTTCAGGAGCTTAATGAGGAAGGAAATTGTGATCTCATGTGTGAAAAAAAAACATTCTTATCTTCTTATACACTTAAAGAAAGAAAGTGATAATTTGTTATTGATCGACAAGGATGAATAGGGCAAAAGTTAATATTGGTGTTGATATTGAAGTAGTATCATATCATTTCTGGCTAACCCAATTATTTCCAACAATCGCTGGTTGGTACCTGAAGTATTTTTTTCTACTTTTATAGTTTATCAGGGTTTTTCTTCAGATTTTTCCAGTTTTAATTTTGCAGTTATGAGTTGAAGGCAGAAAATTTTCTTTTTATTGTTTTTCACATCATCTGTCTCATCAACAAAAACAATAAATGATATTTGTTTTTTTCTATAGTTTAAATAATAATTGTATTCCTTTTTTATCTCCTATGGCTTATTGAACTACTATTTTTATATCTTTAGGGTAAAAGTTTATGATCTAATTGATTAGGGTTTATAAGAAATTCTGAGAATTTTACCGGTACCGGTGATTATATTGTTAAGGTAGGTTGATTAAGTAAAACGTGAATGAATATTTTCTTGAATATTACTGAGAAACATTTTGTATTCTGTTGGCAGTGATGGTTCATAATAATGGTTCATATGCTTGGCTTGACCTCTACAGTCATAGGTTCCACTTTAGTTCAATAATCATTATTTTAACATTCCATTAAATAACTCCGGTACGGCTAAATATATCCATGGCCTTTCTTATTAGACTTTCCATTTTTTAATTAATTCAGTAGATTTATTTGTCGAACAGTGAATTCTTTTTTGATTTTATGCTGTAATTATTTCATTGTATATAATTTTTCCTAGGATCTTCTTTTTTAAGCGTTTTTTTGCATTTTTCGATGTGTCTAAATGACCAAATTAACATGCATTTGATCATAGCCTAAAGATCCACTTACACATTTGGTTAGTGGTTAGCGTCTAGATAGGTTTACTCCATTGGCTATTAGGGTTAGCAGTTTTGCCAGAGGAAAGAACAGAAGTATAGGCGATTCTTGTTTTTTAAATGACATTTGCACTTGTAATTTTGATTGATGGAGTATATACAATCCTTTCAAGAATGATGTATATTCTGAAAAATTAGAAGTCGCTCGCTGGCATTTAATCTTTTTTCGTTTGTAGATTTGCAGCTTAGTTAAATGCTTAAATATGGATTTTTCATCCTTCCTCGATTTTTTTTTTGGTGTGTAATTTCTCTAATTGCTCCATTTTTCATCCTTTTTTTTGCGGACCGATTAAACCGATAGCCTTTTTTCCATTATCATTCCATCAGCGGAACTACTTCTCAAGACTTTTTGTTACATTATTCAAAGAAAAGAAAGAAAGGAATTGAGTATGGTTCCATTCGTAATAATCTTCTTTTCTTTCCTTTTTTATTTTTTTTCTACTGTGATAATAAATTTTTCATCTTATTGCATTTCCAAAATCTCATTTCACTTGGTTCATAAAAATTTTTTATTATTGAGTGAGTTTTTGTTTTTCATCTTAAATTTCTATATTTATTTCGGTTTTTTTCATTCGTTTTAGTATAAGTTGTTGCTGCTAACTTTTGAGTCGTGAAGTGATACTATAATTCACAGTGGATTAGATGCTGGGCATAAATAATGGTTTGAAGTAAGAATTGGTAAATTTAAGTGAGATATGGATGATATAATGGTTGTGGTGATCATAATGGTGCAAACTTGATTAATTTTCTCAGCGATTATTGTTCTTGTTATCTTCATTTACCATTAAAACTGTTAAATGATTTATTTAAAAATGCAAATACTTTATTAACGATAGAGAGAGGGCTGTTTTCTTTAGAAAAAACCGGTAATTTTGTTAATGCCTCTAGTATTTTGTTTGTTTACAGAAAGTATCAAGAGCGAAAACACTATGATGGGGGCAATAAATTTAATTCCATTTTTCGTGATGCACATTAAAATAGCTTTCCTTTCTTTAAAATAATTCATTTTACCATATATTTTCCAATTGAATCGAAGCACTTTTCACACAGACACACACACATCTCTCTCGCCTATCTTCCATAATGTGTAAAATTTATTATGCACCATATCTCACCATCAACCATTTAGATCATCGTTGTCATCATCATCATCGTCACCATTGTCCAAATTTGTTATGAATTTTAATATTCAAGAATGAACGTTGGTTATGAAGAAGTCATGAACTCACAGTTAGCACGACATATTTATTTTTACTCTTTTTTCCTCATTGATTTTCAAAACGAAAATATCTAAATTTGTTTTACTATTCGTTGAATTTGAATGAGGAATGAGAAGTTCTTTCTTTTTTTCGCAACTAATTTACATTGTTATAAATTTTTCTTGTAATAAATGTTCATTCTGCTTTTTTAGCGATTCACATAAATACCACATACACACATATATTTATATATATATATCATTTCTTAGCTTTTTTAGTATTCTTTCCCTTTCCCTTTTCTGTAACTGAATTTCATCACTTTTTACACAGATTTTTCTTTTGTTTCTAGAATTTTTTAAAATTGGTTTCAAATGTGGTGGTTTTATTGAGTGAACTGAATTTGAAAATGGCCAAAGTTCCATTTGCTCGTCTTGTCTATTTTCTTGTTTTTCATAAACGCTTGGAATTTGTTTTATCACGTTTTTCAATAAATTCACATTTAATCGCTAAAGAATGCGACCTGAAACGAGCCGAGTGCATGATGATCAATCGTATCGCTAAGTCATTAATAGTTGATGAGGGTGGGAGCTGAGGAATTCTTGAAATTCTACATTTTGTGGTTAAATTGGATGAACTGTGGTTTAAATTTGAGATAATAAATCCGGTTTATATATTGCTGCGAATCTATCGATCGGTCTTTTTTTCGAATCCCCGGGTCACCCTATAAGATCGAATCGAACGTTTTCTTCTGTGCGCAACATTCATAAATTTATGCATTTAAGCATAAGGTATTATATATTCTTGAAAGCTGTGTGCATAAATTTTTTGTTTGTTGGACTTTAGAGAAATCGCCTACCAGTTGTTACACCAAAAATATTTTAAAATTTACAAGACCTTGAAGCAAATGAGAATTGTTTGAGGTGAGGTTTGGTTAAGGAGATATTCATTTTAATAGCTCGAACCAAAATGCAGCTGGGTGTCTGGCACCACGCGTATTTCATTTTTAGTGACAACTTTTTGTCAAAGGATAGGAATATCTATGAAATGTTTACCCCAGTCAAAGCAATAATTCATTATTATTTTCTACAAATGAAAAACAGGATTCAAAATTTATGAGATATACCCAAATTGAGTGAACTGGTAATTGCAGTTTGATTCAGTCTTTCTCGTTTAACTTTCTCGACGAATTGGACTGTCTTGCTGCCATTATACTTTATAATAATATGGTGGTGTGGTATCTTCATTGACCTCATCTATTTTAGTGAAAGATTCTATGAATAGGCGAATTAAATGTGTTTAACTTCTATTTTTGGATGAAATTTGACATTATTGATGAAAGGTCAGTGATACCTATTACGATTCGCGTTTCTTGAAGGTTTTGGTGCGTATGGCCATTGACCGTTATGAATCGCGTAAATTGATTGATGCTTATATGGCAAAACGGAAAAAGGAAATAAATTGTCAACTATCGAACCATTTTGTGACAGGTCAACATATTTTAGATTTTTACTATAACATATAGAGCATTATCGCATTCAAAAAGATTCAGATGAAGAGGGATTCTACAATTTTTAAATCCATTTTTACGTTATTTAAAAATGAATGCTTTTGGAATTAAATTTTTCTTCGAACAGAACTCTTTCTGGCTGGCGCCATTGGCTGTTATTGTTGACTTCCTTGCATTGTCCAGGTTTCTTCTCTCAAGGTGCAGCTCGTGGTAAATCAGTCTGCGGACGAAGCAACAAACCATTTGAAAATCCCATTCTTTGGATTTAAATATTTAAAATAATCTGGCTTCCATCACTTTAAATTTTTTCACATATTTAATACTGTTTCTTATATTAGATGCGATAAATGGTGATAATGGTGGTAAAGTGAACTTAAAAGTCAAACAGCTGGAATTGTTTGTCGACTTCCTCGTGTCCTCCACCTTTCGTCAACTTTTCAGTTCATCTTTCGGGTTAATTTTTTTTCTTCCTAATACTTTTTGATTAAATTTTCAGTGATTTGCAATAAGATAAAACGATATGCATTAGCCATGGTGATCATCAACTTGTCCAATCGTCGTCCAGCGTTTTTACTGTTAGATTAATACAGTCGAATTGAAAATCAAAAACCATTCAAATTTCTCATGAAATTTTTTTTTAAATGTTTGATCCGAGAAAACTGATATTATTTTGATGTAATTTTAATATTTAATATCAATATTTTAATATTTAATGATTTTAATATTAAAATTGATGATTATGACATTTACCCCGTAAATTATTGACCCATAATATCGGAACCAATCTTTAATATAACTCAGAAAAATTGTTCAAACATTCATGAAAAAAGATATTTCAATTTTTTGTGAATTGGTCAATAATAAGTACAAATATCGTAGTTTATTTATCTTTATCATTCCTTTTAATTTCAGCTTTTTTTTAAGTATTTAATACCACCGTAAATTTTCCTTTGAATTACCACATTACATCTACATTAATTTCAAATAAATTATTTATTAAAAAATTAAATGTAGAAAAAGGCCATTTCGGTTTTTTTTATTACACATTATTATGAACAAAAGCAATTAAAAGCACCAGATTATAAATTAAAAGGTACTCGTTGGGTAGGCAAAAGCACATCGTCATCTATAAGCACAATATATTAAATATATATTAATAATAAGAGAAATTTTAAAAAATTTCATAAAAACGATAAATAATTTTATCAACTTAAAAACTTAATACAATATAATTCTATGCTTAAAAGCCTAAACAGCAATCTTAATCGAAGCTTAGCAAAAAAATATACAAATTCCAAGCCACCAAAACATGAAAATAATAAATGACATTAAAAGCATTTTAATTCTACCAGTATATCTATTTTATAGATCGAATCACAAAACAAATGGCATAAAGTGCAACAAATTGCGATTTCAATTTGATGGTTGATGGTTGAATTACTTCATTAGACTTACAATACCACATATTGCTAAACTAAAATGGTAGAAGTGAAAAACGGGTGAAAATGGTAGAAGTTGGATTTAGATAAGATTAAACTTAAAACTTAACTGCCGATTTAAGTTAATAGAAACAACTGGAAAGATTATCAAGTCCTTAAAAAATATAAAATGGACAAGATCTTTCAGAGATCGAATGCAGCTTCGACAGTATAGGAAAACGAACTAGCAAATATCCTGGCAAATTATGGAAATTAAAAGAACTCGAAAGGAAAGGAAATAGAAGAAAAAAAGAAATAGAAAAGGAAAAAAAAGGAAAAAAACAAAAGGTAATCCAGCATTATGATCAATGCGTAATGACCAATCGTACCATCCGTTTTTGATCGAGTACTCATCATTGTTAACATTAATTAATATATAAGACATCGGTCATTTTTAGGCAAAAGTAGTAATCATCAAAAAGAATATTAATTCTTTGCAATGTATATCAACGGATTAAATCTCGCAGCAAATACTCATAGCGAATAATAATGAATAATTGAAAAATTAAAGCATCCAACGAATGCCAAAGTATGCTTTGAGAATTAAATTAAATTATGATTCTTTGGGATTCTTTGACTGGGCATTATTCAACTCGATCAGCTGTGACTGAAGAAATTCAATGCGATCATCTTTCCAATTAATTTCATAACGTAAACTATCGATATCTTCCTACAGTTGATTAAATCATTTATTAATGAATTTCGATCAAAAGATTTAAATTTGTTTTTAGAAAGCCATAAAAGTTAAATATATGGTGAACCTGCTGCAAGCGTATTATCTTCTCCAGTTTTTCGCAATGAATTCTACATTTATATAATTCCTTTTCCAGCTCTAATACAACATTAGTAAAAGTTTCTTCAGAGAAGCCGTTCCATTTTCTGAAAATAAATGGAGAGTGAAGGAACCATTTATTAAAAAAAATGAACTGCCAATATCAGTTGTGATTTAAGTACATGAAGAATAGGAAGAAAAGAATTTTAAGAATTTTTTAAATTTGATTAAAATAGCTTATTTCACTTGATTATTCTGTTATTCTGCGTTATTATATTCATTTAGTTTCAAATAATTCCGAAAATAATTTTAAAATTTCCTCATTAAGAAAAATAGGAAATGCTACTACCATTTCATTATGAAAATCCAGTGATATACGCATACTAATATTCATTAATCAGCGTTAATGAATAAAGCTGCCTTACCTTGGACTTTCTTTGCCTGTTTTTTGCACCTTTTTGCTGCATATACTTAAACTGTGGCCGTTTAATTCTGCTTTTTTGAATTCTCTTGTCGAATTCGGAGCACTGATTGCATTTTTTCTTTCATTTTGCAGTTGTTCTTTCTTCGATTTGACAATGATATCATCTGATAAAGAAAAACTAGCGCCTAAAAATTGATTTTGAGTATTAAAAATTAAAATAATGTAAAATTAACCATGCAACAAAAATAAGTACACTCAAATGCAAATAAGTGCACTGAAAATTCATGTCTTTTGGTTAAGTGAAAGCTATGAAATATAAATAGGATGTACCACAATATTTAGTAGAAACTGCATCATTCTGTAGACATGCATTTTTCTCTATCTCCATATTTATCGACATTTTTTCCAAATCTAAATTTTCACCAGATGGAAACTGTGATGCACTTTTGAAAAAATCGGGTTCGCTTTCTATTCTGAAATAATTTATAGTTTAAAAATTTTGCGGAAGTGTGAATAAGAAAGGAAAGCATAGCCATTTTATGACAAAAAGTATTATCTATGCATAAAGTAAGTTCAAAAAAAATTCACAGCTTTGGAAGAATTTGAAATTTTTGATATTCCATTAAAAGCAGAAGTAATAGATAAATCAAAAAAACACATACAAAAAATTAGGTAGAACAAAAAGAAATTTTAAATCGCAAAATATGTAAATATTTCCATTGGAAAACGTATATGCAAAAAACAAATTATGAGAAAATTTTCGCTTTTGCATGAAAACATTGATACATTAATCTGCAGCAAAAACTCGTTTTAAAAAAGGAGTAATTTAGCCATTCAATGAAATAAACCATAAAAAGGACCGTAAAAAAAAAGTAAAAAATAACCTAGTCTCATCACTAAAAACTTCTGATTTATTAGCATCCAATTCAGCCGCAATTTTAGATCTAATCTCTTCCAGTTTTTGCAGTTCTTCACGATCCTCTCTATCGCTAATTTCACGATAATCAGGTTTTGTTACCTGAAAAAAAAACTAAATTGGATATACTGTAACTTACCTAAAACTCTGAAGAACATACAACGATTTTAAATTAAGAAATCCATTGCTGACCTAGGGATTTAAAAGTAATAAAATCACTTGAGAAAGAAATCGAAATTTGCGATCATTATTGATGTCTGCCGTTATAAGCTTCGAAGCATGCTTGGTAGAGTCTTTAAAAATAACAGGTTTGTTGGTACAATTCAGCATACAGTCTCGCAATTCGATTAAAACTGGTTGTCGATCCAAACCAGCAAGCCATTCGCGAAATGTTAAAGAAGGGGTTGGCGAGCGGGTGGCCGGATATAAATCAACTTGAAAACTGTCAGCCTAAAAATTTGACGTATTTAATGTAAAATTAAGACCTTTTAAAAAAAAAATTTGCGAATTTACTATTTACTTAAGAAATTAACTGGATAAAAAGATCAAGATCACGCACTATTTATAGCAAAATATTTCAGTTGAAAATGTAAATATTTGAAATAAAATTTTATCATTTATTATTTCACCTTTCTTGGTACGATGAAAGAAAGAGGTTCAATGACGAGTTGCTCAGCATCCACTCTATAGATGCGCATTATTTCACACTTTAATACATCCAAGCCACGTTTCGGTAGGGCACAAACAGCTGTATGAGCCTTATGGCTTGAAGATTCATTCAAATAGGTCAAAAATGGTGGTTCATCATTAAGCTCATAAAATCGTATATTTGAATCGCCCTAAAAGTTTTTTTAATGAAAGAAATAGAAAAGCATGGAAAGAATACAACAATCAAAATTGTAAAAAAGTTATAACAAAGATGAAACAAATATTTGAACATAAAAATTCATTCATACCTTGCCGGCAACGTAAAATAAATTGAGATCATTATCGACGATTGGCATTAATAGACCAGAGCCAGAATCAACGTCAATGACAGAAAGAGGCTTAGCCAATTTTTTCGAATCATAAACCGCTATTTGTCGCCGTGAATTACGGCAACTTCCAGTCGTTAACAGTAACTTGTTTTCCAAGCCATTGTCAAAATAAACAATTCGCGATGGCATAATACCATCATGAACCACTTCAGTTTCGCGCAATTTCATTCCTGTTCGAGCATCAAATATAATCAGTTCCCGAGCTTTTGTAGTAACAGCCAATTCTGAGCAATTATAACTGAAATTGAAGCCTTCTTCCCAACATCAATATTTTAAAACATCATTCTTTAAACATGAAATTTAAAAAAAATTAAAAATTAATTTTTCTCATATGTTTCATTTTTCCGATCGATTTTCAAATGAAAACCATAACAAAATAATAAAAATAACTGATTAAATTGAGAAATACCAATTATATTACCAATTATATCAATTCGATATCAATTTAAAGAGCAATAATAATCAAAAATAACGAAAACTATGTGGTAATATTTTCAATATAAAAATTATAGATTTGTTAAACCTCAAAGCAAATGAATGCGCATAACAGCCTTCGATAACATACACTATCTGATCACTTTCAATATTCCACATCACAATTCGACCATCCATTGATGCTGATATAATGGCATTATCGACAGTTGAATGCCATTCAATTGTATGAACTCTTCGAGAATGGATACGCAAAATTCGTAAACATCTATAACGTAATACAATCAAATGAAAAGAAATTTTCCTTCGAAACAGTAAACTTTCTACTTTTATTTCTTTTACACGAAAGAATTTCGCATCCATAAAAGCACAAAATAAATAAATTAATAAATAAATTTTAAAATGTAATAAACAGAATTATAAACAAAATATTTATTCATAAAATATTCTAAATAAAATATTCATTAAGTTTCGGCACAAAATAAATAAAAATGACCGAATTCTAATATTGTCATCAATATGCCAAATTCGAACCGTTGCATCATGCGATGCTGTTGCTAGAACATTGTCATTGAACGGATCCCATTTAACATCACAAACTGGGCCCTAAAAATGAATAATACACTTTTAATTACAAGGACATTTTTTAATGCAAAGCACTACAGTTATATGTCTTTATTTCATGTCTTATAAGTGTGAGGCGTTTTTAGTTCATTAACTAAAAACTAGCTTATTATCCTATAAAACTACTTAACTATTTGACAATAACATAAATCTTCTAGATTTGATCTTCTCGCCAATTTCATTATTTTTCGAGAGAAAAATTCCGTCTTTTTAAAATTTTCAACTCCTTAATGTTCTGCTTTAAATTCCTTTTTTTATTATATTGTCCTTTAACAATCAATAAATAAAAATTTTCCAAGAAATCCAAAAAAAAATTTAAATGAGAAATTAATAAAGAGGGGATAGAAGAGTTCAGTGAGTTGCCTCCATTTCGGAGAGCCGATAAGAAGTAAATCTATCAAAAAATTCCGGCGGTGCTGGCTACTTCTATCCGATTGATTCTCTGAGAAAATTTGTCTGGCTAGAAAAGCCAGTAAAGTCATCCTAACCAAACAAGTGAGTACTTATGGAAAAAAAAACATGAAAACTTAAAGATTACTCTTCTAAACGGGATTAAAATTACTGATTCGAAAAAATGTAAAAAAAAGCGAAAAAAATTAACATAAACCTCATGCTCTTTAATTTTACCCATTTGCATATTTCCTCGACCCATTGACATTAATTTGGCGACTTGTATAATACCACCGGCAGGTACATCAACTGCTAATGCAATCATTTTTGGATTTGCAGCAACTGCAAGCCCATGTCCTGGACCTGCATCATACCATTCACTACGTCGAACACTTTTCGCAAAAATATGTCGAAAACGTGAATATTTCACTTTCGGCGCTGAATCTAAATTCACATAATTTACCTAAAAAACTCCGAATTATATTTTCACATGAAAATCGTCCTTCATGAAAAAATTTTTCCCAAAAGGATATTTTTCACAATAAATACTAAAAGGACATTTTTCACATTAAATAATAATATTATATTATTTTCGACGTTAACTATAAAAAAATCCTTTCACGCACGTGAAAATTAAATGCAAAACAAGTTTATTATTTTATCCTACCTTGCGTTGTTTGATGAATTGGCTTGAAATTTAATTTAAATTTGAACTTACCGGTCATATTTCGGGAATTGTTTGCCAATATCTAATTGTTGTCGTTTAATTTCTGACAATATACTGATATACAGATAAAGCCTTATCACTAGTTAAATATTTCAATATTTCAAAATATAATTAGAAAAAATATCATTAAAAATGAATATTTTAAATACACGATAATTTATGAGCTTATCTCAAAAAAAAAGTCATTAAAAAGTAAAAATATCTAACATTGCGAATTTTTTGATAAAATTATTCAGGAGAGATTAATGACTGATATGATAAGGAAATTATGATAAGAAGCAAGAAGCAATCTTTGATCTAACACTAATTCTACGAATTCTTCTATTTGCAACAACACTCACTGCTTTCGGCCTGGATGATGCTACTAAGTAAATACTTGGATGATAAACGTTCGCGAAGGAACCATTCAGAGAATTTTAGATTTTCATTTTGCTTTATTCCACGCTTTCATTTTTAAAACGTTTAAAAATCACGCTTGTGATTTTAAAGGTGATTTTCCGTAGAAGCGATTTATGGTACCGGAAACCCGGAACATCTAGAAAGTAAATGACCAAACGTAACCCGCGGACGTTTTCTTTTCTAGGATTCGATTCCCTTTCTAATTCCCTTTCCTCACAAACAGATTCGTTCACCCACATTCCCCACAAACTCTCTCCTCCTCCACAGTTTATACCAATAACGAATGAACCAAAATTGCCATTGAATAAATCCATTTAAAAAATGTGAACGCGTTTTAAGCGTAACAAATGTTACGTTGTAGGCGGTGCTTAAGGAATTTATATCTGTCACATGCCACTTGAATTTAAATTTTTGAATTTGTTTTGAATCGAAAATGGTGAAAAATATGAAATCCTGAATGTGTAAGGCGAATGACGAAGTATTTCCCAGCTATCTAAATTCATTCAGCAAAGTAAATTCATCTATGCGAAGAGGATAAGGAAACATGAGGAAATATCGAAGAGTGGAGAAGGATGACGGGGAGGAAAAAGAAAGGAAAATTATAATATTTGCTATTTTTAGCGAATAGTGTTGTATTAATATAAAATGGAAGGAACAGAGTGTCACTCTCACTCAGCACCATAATTTCCTGCTCTCTGCAGGAGTAAATCTGGCGTTGAAGGACCAACTGGCGCTGCGGACGTAACCCTATTATTGTCTCCAAATGTCTTCCTTGCCAGAATGTCTTGTCCTAATACAGTTATCTAATGCTTACAGCTAATAGGGTAATCAAAAACAGTGAGCAATACACTGGAAATATTTATATATATGTTTATTTATTTATTAAATGGCTAAAGGTTTGTAAATGCTGCTGGAACTTTACAGGGACAATGAGTGGCGGTGGCCACAAATAGTAAGGGTTAAAGAGGTAAAGAAGAGAGAGTTTAAAATTACTAACGGATTAAATTCATCCTTGGAAGTGTTAAGAGGATAATCGATGCGCTTGGAAAGGCCTTTCGAAATAAAGCAGCTTTTGGAGGAAGAATTTTGGTGGACAGTTATTTTGGTTGGTAGGTATTTTGAAGGAGTGGGTCATAATAGGGAATAAAGGTGATTTTGGCAGTATGCTTGTAGCCGCATAGAAGCACGCTAATAAATAGGGAAGTTTCAGGAAATAGCATGGCGTCGAGTTTTAAAAAAAGTCTTTGAGGATTGACAGGACGTTTAAGAGAATGAAGGAAGCGAAAGACTGCAAAACTTTTGGCGTACTGTTGCTGCCAAGTGCGATAAGGAGAAGACGAAGAAGGGCTTCGCGAAGACTGCGGATTTTTTAAAATTGTCGCAAAGGCTCTCATTAATTTCTTAAATAATTTTATATGAACTGGATACAGTTTGAAAGCCAATCAAATCATCAAAATTATATTATTCGCAAAGTTAAAATATTTACACCTCTTAACGGAATTATTTTCTATACTGTTGCTGCTTCGCTCTCGAGTGGTCCGAGCGAACTGGATGGCCCGATTGGTCCAAGTGACCTGGCTGCTCCGAGTGGCTCGATTGGTGCCAATACTCTACAATAATTCTTTATTTTTAATTTGTTTTTGTAATAATTATGGTGATTTTAATTTTTTATGAGTTCTTTGTCAAAATGATTTTATCATTGGTCTAATCTTTGCTTCTGCCTTATGAACGCATGGATTGTTATTTATTATTCGTTATTAAACGTTTTAATAACACAAAGTTTGAGGTTTGTCAAATAATAGGCAGAATACCATTTCAACTATATTACTCGTACTGCTCGTAAATAATAATTCTCTTAAGAAAGAACCCCATAGTAAATTCCAATTTATATCGAATTCACATATTTGCTTGGCTCTATCTTTTTTCTTACGAGGTATTTAATGGCGGTTGGAAAGAATTAAAGAATTTTGACAAATTTCGGCAGATTTTAGAGGATAAGCAATAGGTAAGTTTTTATTTTTTCCGAGCACTCCCAGGTGCAAATTAATTTTAAAATGTTTACGTTGATCTATGTTGACATCAGTGCAGTAGCGCGTACAATCTCATTGTTATTGCATAAATGAGCGTAAGGAAGCAAGTGTTCTCGAGATGCATGACCGCGTGTTCTCGGCATCCACGACATCCACTTAAAGCGCTGATCGTCTCTGAACATTTATGTCGAATCTTGCTGGCTGACTGGTCTAATATAATTTTCTTTTTATCGCATAGTTGTAACATTTTGTTGCTGTCATTATCGTCATTGTTAGTCGCTATCATTATAATAAATTTCCTTAAACTAAGCTGAGGAATAACAAGTGCTGTCAACAATTTTATGAGACACTATCAGCTGAAAGTATTACAATATTTTTAAGCGAAATTTTTTTTCTCAAATTTTCACCTTTGCTTTTATCAAAGCGATGAGATTTTATTTTATTTGTTAATTCCCTTTTAAAAATAGTTTTAATTCATTTATAATTTAAATTTAAGTTCTTAAACATAAATTTACGTTCTTCCTATGTTTGCAAACAAAACATATCTCGCGCAAAAATGCTCTGCCAAACAATAAATACGCCATGTTCTTGGCCCATTAATGCATGCACGGGAAGCAATGTTCCCCAATTCTGAAATGAGGAATTTCCGCTTATCACGACTGAAATTTTCTGAATCTTCTCAAACATCATTGTACTGCATCTAATGGACTAGTGAACCAGTATTTTTAGAAAATTAATTAACCTTGATTTTATTCTCGTATTATAGGGTATTTCGACTTTCATTAAAGCAGTAGCAGTAGCAGTATAAAAATAAGATAGACGATTAGGATTTATTTTATCCATTAATTATCAATCCATTTTCACTATTCTTATTCATTTTCTTCTCCTTCTAACAGCTCTCACCATTACTGGTTAGGTTGGCTTCAACGGCTACAGGGGTAAGACGCTTCCAAGTGGCGCGGTCTGATGCCATCGTCGACAGCCATTTCTTTAGAATAGAAGCCATTTCTTTTTGCATCGTCTAAGTTCATATATTGCTGGTCCACCTATACGTTCAAATCTTTTCTGATTATATCAATCCAGGTCTTAATTGGCGCACCTCGTTTTTGACGCCATTCATCACAGGGTCTAGCAGGTATAGAAATATGCGTCAACTCCTGTGGTGGATGACATGGAGAACGGAGAACGTGCCCTAATCAGCGAAGGTTTTACGATAACATTATTTATACATATGGTATTTTAACGAGGGCTTAGGCTTAAGCTTAGGCCCCTATTTGAACGAAGGTTGATGCGATCATGTGATATTTTATCCGCTCGACGGCCCCGTAAAAGGTACTTAGACAGGAGTGGTCAAAGGTAGATAGTTTCTTAATATTCTCCATTCTCATTGGCCATGTCTCAGAGCCATATAGCAAGAATCACAGCTATATAAATGTGAACGAATCACAGCTATATAAATGCGCACCTTCGTTTTAATGGTAATTTCACGATGGTTCCATGAAGGTTTCATCAACTGGAAGAATTTTCAGCCACCGTGATCTGGGAATAGGGCTCAACCGGCAATGAATTTACAAAAAGAGTCATTTTATCAGCTTCTTGTACGACGAAAAAACTTTGTGTGCATTGACCTTGAGTACGATTCTTGATGCAGTTTCTGACACGTTATTTAGGATTACTTGCATTTCGTCATAACTAAAAGCAAAAAGGACTTATTCATTTTAGGCAACAAGAATAGATTTTGTCGTTAAAAAATCCGAATGCTGCTGGCGACATAACTATACTTTTATTAAAACTCGATAAAAAACTCGATAAAAATTTTTAACAGCCGCGGTCAATAACCAAAAATTATGGCTTTTATTTATATTTTAATTGATATTGTTAATAATTTTTGTTTGCAACAGAAATAAATTTTTTGAAATTTTATTTAAAAAAATTAGATGCAAATATTTTTCCAATTTTTTCCCGTTTCATTGAAAATATTCAATTATTAATCAAAATAGAGTTTAAAGTTCTTTATTTGAATTCCGTCATAAATGATTATTTCATATTGGCAAACTTCTTATCAAAACTTATGATAACGAAAGTTAATGGCTAAAACAATTCCGTCCATATCTTATAACAAATGTGACATTATTTATACGTTATCGATACTGCGAAACAATGGAAACTTTATCGCAAAATCTTCATTAGAAAAAAGATGATATTGGAAATTTTCAGAGAAACATGATATCCTCATATTCCGTTGAGAAATTTCAAATGGCGCTCACGCTCCACTCTTTTATTTTTTTCTGAAATTCTTTTACTTTTGAATTTTCCAATTCATTCTTATTTTTAAGGATTAATAATATATGCTTAGAAATATGCATAATAGAAATTTCTGAATATTTCTATTAATTGATATTTGATATCTAATTGATATTTCTGAATATTTTGAATCTGAATATTTTAATTCAGTTAAAAAAGAAATTAGCAAGTTTAAGCCCAAGCTAATGTCGATTTGAATAGAATATTCTTCCAACGCCATTACTGTTGGGTTGGTTCGAGGTTAGGATAAAGCTGGGATATTTTCAAGTCATTCGACCTGATCATATTTTTGATTGGGATTTCTCGTTTTTGGCACCATATATCACATCAGTGTATCAATTTCTGCGATGGTCTGCGAAAAACATTGCATAGGTGACTCACTTCGATGATGTTAAAGCAGATGGCATCTTCTTCTAGGAGTTTTCACCATTTCTGGTTAGGTTCACTTCGCCGACTTCATTCCTAATCCTCTGAACAAACGAATTTTTGCCAGAGAATCACTTGGCGATATAAATCTAGATGAGTTGCTAGTATCATCTGGATTTTTCAAGCATTGGTTTAGTTCTGCCAGACGTAAAATATCAGCATTATCGCATAAAAACATCTGAACTGAGTAATAACCCACTGAGCCATTTCCTTTAAGCCGTTTAACGACGGTTTTTCCCGGTAAAATATGAGCGTCGGCTGGATTTGAACCCAAATCTGGATTCTCATCTTGCCAATAAGCCACCGATGCGTTGGGATTCTGTCTGCTCTACGAGCATGTAAAATGTACCTTAGAAATGAATGGTCAAAAGTAAATGATTTCTTAATATCTTCCATTCTCATTGGTCATATTTCGCAGTTACATAATGAGATGGTGCGCATTATAGCCAAATGGATGCGAAATTTCGTTTTGATGGTGATTTCGAAGCGATTCTATATAGATTTCATTAGACGAAAGAACGCAAAAAATAAATTATCATTTCGATTGATTGATCTGCTGAAAGGATCCGTCGGCCCTTTATGGAACTTCATTCTTTTGCATTATTATTTATGCAAACATATGATTATAGATGCAAGAGAAGTCATAAAATTCACAAGATTTGCAATGAACTCTAATGTGGAATTTATGTATTTGATGGTTATAATTATCATATCAAATTATTTTCGCTAAACTGTGTATTAAAAAACTTCAAGTTTCGTTAGAACTTTAATCATTTATTTCATTGACAGAAAAAATAAAATATTAATACTGATAAATTATGAAAATATGTTACCTGCAATCGGCCCAGTGAGTAGAGTGTCCAGCATTCCAATTGCACCAACAAGTTGTTCTCGAATTCGGAGTAGCAAATCATTTTTCTCGAGCGTACCAGTTGGTACTGCAGTTGGTAATACATTAGGCACTTCAGCTGGCATTGCAGTTGGCAATCCACTTGCACTTGGTACTTCGATTGGCATTGTGGTTGGTGAATCGGTTGCATCAGGTACTTTAGTTATACGTGGTACTTCATTGGTACTTGCATTTGGTGCTTCATCTGTAATTGGCGTTTCACTTGTTCTTTCAGTTTTATTTGCAACGTCAGTTAGATCGCTTATTTCCGTTGTATTTAAGGATTCTGAAATGAAGCGAAGTCAAATGGCGATTTAAAATAATTCAGACTTACGATAATTCGGTTGATGGTTCATTTTAAATCATGCAATTTAAAACCGAGGAGTGAATTCATATATTTTTTCCCAATTAAAGGTTTGATGTGAAACGATAGACCATAAAGAAAAAGAAAATTGACGAAAATTGGTCGAAGATAGCCAAATAAATGCAGAAATAATTCAAACGAATTTAAAGTTCAATTTATTAAATGCCACCTAAATCACATCGATGTTAGAAATATTAGAAATATTTTCTGGATCTGTGCTTTGTGAAAATTCCGGATACTCTAGCATCCTTTTTTCATAAAATTCCCCATTTTTTGAAAAGAATCTCTGATTAATTAATATTCCAATGTTTTAGATCTAATTACATGAAGAAGAGCAATCAAAAATGATAGCTAAATGTAAAAATTTGCTTACCACTGAAATTCTTCTTCGTAAAAGATGCAATAATAAGAATGGAGAAAAAAATTGAAAGCTTCATTTTAAAGAGCGATCTGGGTTTATCACTGAACCAATGAAAGAAAGTCGAAGACTCAATTTAAGCTTACAAAAGATGTAAAAATTTATGAAATTTATATATACAAGCAATAAACGGTGGGGGCGTACACCATCATTGCTATGTTGGCGGAAAAAAGAAATTTTTTGATAGAAATTTAACGAGAAAAATTTTAAAAATGATAGCATAAATGTATTGAAAATGGTTGTTTCGACAATGTATTTTAAAAAAAGTTTGCAAAAAGTCTTTCCAGACTAATGCTGGTTATGCGCCTTCAACTGACCCTCTGGTAGCCCCTAATAGTCATTTGTGCGAATCCAATCAGACCTGGTAACATATATATATATATATACATAGCAAAATTGTAGCAAATAGCTAAATTTCAGTGATAAACATAAAATCGAGGAATGCTAAACCGATCTATATTTCATGATCTTCCACCTATAGCACCTAAGAGTGGAAGTGCTGGCAAAGTAGAAGTAGAAGTTTGGCCAATCTAAATATTCTTTTAAAATAGCGTCTCCCAGACTTTTTTTGCTGCAAAATTAAACTGAAATTGAATTTGTGCTCATCCAAGTTAAAGATAGACAATTAACTATTTCTTAAGTATTTATGCAAAATGAATATTATGATAATTGTAAATTACAAATTTGAAATTAAAAAAATTGAAAATTATTTTGTGTTATTTTTTAGCAGAATTAATTCTTGCCTGCAGTTCAAAGCAACATCGCAGGAACTTCCATTTTAAGAAGTAAGATTTGCTCGAAAAGTCCCACTTTTTTCAGTTATCTTTTATCTCTGTCTTTATCTTTTTAGTGAATCGCATTTCCCTTTATTTTTGCAATTCGGCATTTTATTTTATCCTATTTCAAAATTCTTTTTCTCTTATTTATCCTATCCCATTATAACGGCATTATGCTAATATATGAAAATATTTGTCGCAAATCAATTTCATGATCTGTAAATGATATGCCACGAAAAAATAGAAATATTGATTATTTGTTTGGACAATTTTTTTTGGGAGAATGTTTCCTACTGACAAGGGATTAAGATTTTAGATTAAGATTTTAGAACCGCGAAAAAATGGAAAATATTTTAGGATTTCAAGCTTTTTTTGCACTCCATGCTGCAATGACAATTTAACAATTTTTACAATCTTGAAATCTTGAAGTTTCTTAAAGAATTTTTATAGTTTCCAGATAAAAAAATTATGATGAAATTGATACAATTTTTTTGCCATATTTAGTCCACATAGAAAAGAACTCTGAAAGCCTCTCAAAAATCGCAATAAAAGAATATAAAAAAATTATGAAAAAAAAATGCTAATAGAAGGATCAAAAATATTTTCGTATATTCATTCTCTTCTGCGATTCTCGCTTGATTCTCGTTGAAAGAATGGATTGCTTGATGGACTTCTTTCCCGTAATTTGTGAAACATACCTATCCATGTTTTGGTTTTATCAAATTTTAAGTGAAACAAATTTTTATTTATTTTTATTTATTTATTTTTATTAATCTTTTACGTCATATGAAATCGTCAAACATTATATATTTCATCTTACGAATATTAATGGAATTTGGTACGGAATTTTTTATATAAAATCCAATCTAAATTAGTTTTCGTAAAGTTTAAAAGTATAACTTCATTGAAGATACAATTTCAAAAAATTTTATGCGCATTAATTCTCATTTTCATTTTGGCTGACCGCTTTCGCTAGCAATTTAGGATTGAAATAGATTACATATGCAGTCATATCACTCAGATTTCTGGTCCATCAATGGCTTAAAATTTAAAAATCGAGTCCGGTGATTCAGTCAAATTAATATACCATTCGAGCATTCTCATGGATTCTCATGGACAATAGCGTAAACATATTTCTCTTCATAAGATTCATTTGAATTATCTTAAAATGATCGGAAAAATTATCATAAGTTCTTCTTCTTCTAACAGCTCTCACCACTACTGTTAAGTTGCTTCCGCTGGCTACCAGAATAAGACGTATCCAAGCTGCTTGGTTCGACGCCGTCGCTAGTAATAATAGAAGCCATTCCTTCTTCTAAGTCCATATATCGCTGGTCCTTCTATGTGTTCAAAATCTTTCCTGATTGTATCAGTCCGGATCTTGATTAGCCTTCCTCGTTTTTGCACCAACCATCACAGGGTTCGGCAAGTAACGAAATACTGTCAACTCTTGTGGTGGACCACGAAGAACGTGTCCTAATCAACGAAGGCGAGGCTTTGTGGTCATAATGTTAATGCAAGTGGTATTTGAACAAAGGTGGATACGATCATGAGATTTTACTCAACGAAAATGCATCTTAAATATATACATGAGTGGTCAAAGGCGCTGATAGCTTCTTAATATCTTCTATTCTCATTGGCGCAGTTATATAGCAAGATTGAGGGAATCACGGCTATATAGATGCGGCTTTCGTTTTTATGGTGATTTCACGCAAGAACTGCAAATTTCTAAAAAGAATTTAGAAAAGAATATTTTAATATTTTCATGCTCAAAAAAAAGCTGTGAGAATAAGGAAGTTAATGGAATTTTATGAAGCTATGAGAACCAATAAAACTATTTTATACAAATCTCGAAAGAACCGTAGTCAGTTAAGTCAGCAATTTGTTCTTTTAACTGACTTTTAATTTAGTTTGTCTAAATATTATTATATTTTTTCGATTAATTTTATTTTTATTGATATAAATACTTTAAATACAATGAATTTTGGCATTTTTATTAATAAATTTTGGAATAATAGAACTTTTTTATGAATCGAAAATAAATAAAAAATAAAACCAAAAATCAAATATAGAAAAAATAAAATGAAACGATTCATTTATAAAATAAATTTTTTTGCTAAATTTTTGATGAACGAATAAAAAAAGGGAAAATTTTGATTTTTAGTTCAATGAATTGGCTTCTCGGTCATAAATGGAAATGAAAAATTTTTTAAGAAAAAAAGGATTCATTTCCATTACAATGGGAAGAAGTTTGATAATTGGACAATACTTATTTCATGTATTTTATTAAAAATTATAAGATTATACAAATTCATACAAATAAATTTTTTTCCGAAGTTTTACGACTTTTTCTTATTTGCCATATTTGGACTTTTCTCAGCCTTGTGAATTTTATAATATGGAAGGGATTGCTTACTGAAGCAAAATACATGATTATTATCCGAAAATGAACCTTTATAAATTTTAATGAGGGAAAATTTAGCTTTTTATAGCGCCATTTCCATGAAGAATTTCTCTTAAAATCGACGCAGTATCAGCCCATTTGCAAACCGTCAATTTTGATTTTTTGCTGGCTTCAACTCCAAGTTATATGCCTATAAAGCAATAAAATTAAAGATGCACATTTTTAATTAAATGATTGAAGTAAAAGCTTAGGTTTGATCACTGGCGTACTAGCATTAGGTCTCGTTTATAATGTATTTTTATCAAATAGTACCGTCATTTTCGGAAATAAGGAAAATAATAGTGACTAAAAGAGGTCAACAAATGGATCAACCATTCAGCAAAATCTCCATCGGGCGTTCTTGGGATGTGATATTTCACTAGACAGTCACTTGCAGACAAAAGCTCAAAAGCCTAGATTTTTCAACTCTTGCAGAAACTGGATTATAATCATGGTGGTGCTTAGGTGCATTTATATTTCTATGTATGTTCTCTAAATATACCGTAAGATGAAAATAATTAAAAATAAAATAATTAAAAGAAAATGAGCAATAATCGGTCATTGCTGAAATATTTAAAGAATTTGAAGGAAGAATACTTGAACCCATTTGAGATTAGAACCTCAAAAAATTTCTTATTTCATGCTACTAGAGCGTGATAAAATATAAATTGTGCTTATGCATTAATACGTTGGAGAGTAGAATGGTTCAATGAGTTGCTGCTCTCATTTTGGAGCGCTGATGGCGAGATTCTATTCCCGATAGGGACAAATCTATCTTTCAAAAACCTGGGTGATATTAGCGGAGCGATCTTACCAGAAAATGGTAAACTCTCTTTTAAAAAATATAAAAAATAAAAAAAATAAAAAATTAATTAAAAAAAAATTTAATTAAAAAAATCTTAAAAATCTAATAATCTTATAATCTTAATTCTCTTTTTAAAAAATCCACTAAAATAATTAAGTAAATTGCTTTCCTTCCTTCCATAGCAGTTGCATACCTTGCAAGAAACAGGAGCGAGATGCCATAACGCAAACGAGAAATCTTTCATATAATTATTACTATAATAGAATTATTTTTGGCAGTTTGAAATAAGACACTGAAATTATGCTTTAAAATTTTTTTTGGAACTTACCTTTTTTCAAATATAGCACCACTCCTCTGCACTATTCTTTAGCTTCCACTTGCGCCCATTTGTTCGAACAATTAAATATGCAAATTTTTCCTGACACATATCTCTTACGCATTTCGTAGTTTTTTACCAAAAAAATTTTACCATTTTTACTTATCTATTGAATGCTATGGTGCTATACATCCAA